AAATAAAGTGTTATGGTTGGTTGCAGCCCTGATAACGCACACATTTTTCCTTTTGACCACATTTCTCTGTCAGAACACAAATGAGTCATTTCCTTTTATGAATCACTTTCTTTTATGAATGTTTTTATTTAAAATAACTTCATCCGGTTGTGGGATTTAAACATCATATAATAGCCGGTGGATGTTTATTTTGTATCTATGCTTGGAAGCAAAACATGTAATAAGTGCCCTCTGGTCCTGGAGGAAGTGTTGTTTACCAAATATTTTAATGAATTAGACAGAAGTTGCTCCTTCAGCACAGTGTGGAGAGTTTTAATTGCAGAACTGCTGAGGAGCAGCACTTGGCTTGTAAACGATGCCTTGTAGGACATGATGAATTCTTCCTCTTCCACCTGAGTATCACTGTTTGGTTACAGTTTGAGCCTCTGCTGTGGCCGCCCCTCCACTGATGCTAAGTGAGATTAATGGGGTGGTGGTACATTTTGCTTTGCCATGCTTGTTTCTGTTGTTTGGCAGATTTATTCTCTCAGTACTGTAACGGCAGAGACTACAGTATGAGACGATGTAAGGGTTGCCAGGGAAACTCAGTGAACTGCTGTTGTTCATGTCCAAGTGGTTCTGTCTGCTTTATTATACAAATAGGACCAGAGGAAATTATACATAAACGCTCCCTGTCCCTGCATAAGTTAAAGAGGATGTTTATGGAAATGTATTGCAAACTTTGTCGTTGAAGCATTTGCATTGGTTTGAATTAGTGTCACGTATCACAGAGGAAGATGGCTGAAGATGAAGGGAGTGTTTATAGTGTATACATTATCTTGTCTTCAAAGATTTCAGCTTTGGAAAATGCAGTCACTGCTCAAAACCATTAAACCTACACTTCTCATATTTATGACATGAGTCATTTTCAACTACCGATCTCAAAGCCATCAGGGGCTTTACAGGCATGGTTGTGCAAAGAAACGTGCAAAGTATTTCAGAACTCAAGTCCTGAATTATGAAGGAGCTAACAGCAGAAATCATATAAAGAGCAGCAGCAAGGGTCTAGAGTGAATGAAAAAGAGCAGTGGATGACATCCAGCTTAATGTTGCATCATCACCCTCTTTAATAAATTACTTAGATGTTTCAGACATACATCTGTGAGGAGGAGCTATGGGTAGTGTTTGTCCTGCCTCATATTTAGAACTTAATCGAGATGGTGGTGGCTCTAGTGCCTAGAAGACTTGTGAAGACATCTACTGTCTCTTCACACTAACTGAACACCCATGTGTCTTCACCCTGTTTGAGCTGCAGCTTCTACAGTTATAAAGATGGAGCTTTACTGAGAAGAATGTGCCTGTTTAATTATGTTCTGATGGATAAACAGAAATGTAATGGAAGAAACTGATGTTGTGCAAACACCTCAGAGAATCCCGTTGTCTTGTCAGTGACGATGTTGGTTAGTGTTATTGTACTTGTTCCAGTCCCTACTTGTTGCCATGTTTCTTATGTAACAGCACAGGCTGATGTTTGCACATGACCAATCCAATAGATAAAACCGTTACTATGGGCATGAACAGAAAATGTATGAGGTGCACAGCGGGCTGTTTCTGTTGTGAGTCTTTCAAAGCATTTTACATCAGACAAGCTGTTCCCTCTTTAGAAAGCCAAGCGGCTGAGGTCCCAAGAGACTTGTTAGAGTGGCATTTTATATATTTTTTCCCACTCTTTCTACTTCTGGTGAGAGCTTCGGAGTACTGTCAGATGACAACATGAGCAGAATGACAAGGGATTCCCACACTATTAAATCTCCCCACGAGCAGACGCCTCTTCCTCTGCAGCTGTTGTCTTCTTACAGGGGTTTTATGTACATTATTTCTTATTTCCTCACTGTCACATTACTCCCTGTGCTGTGCTGTGCAGGCTATACAAGGGCAAGGTTCACATCAACACAGTGTCTGACTTGTTTGCATGGAAGAAGTAAGTGTGAAGGGTTTGTGTAATGAGGCTGATGGTTGCCAAGCAGAACATGTACTGTAAATACACAGACGTGCACACACAGAGCACAGTACACGGCGTGTGCTCTGAAAATAGAACATACTGCCCAGCTGCATGCATGCGACACAGATGGAGGGTCTACTTCCTTTCTGTTTATATCTTAGATCAAACTAAAATATACATAAAGACCATGACAGCTCGGTGCTCCCACTCGCTCAGTGTGAATGTAAAGGTTATGAGAGGAAATATCTAAAATATTGACACACTCCTGGGGTGAGAGAACACAGAGACTGTTTAACATGTTACTCACTGTTGTTGCCCAGGAGAGGAAGGAAACATGAAGTGACCAATTACTGATGCAACCACTGTGAATCAAACAGCACACCTTTTATCCACGACGCAGCCCGAGACCCAAATCTGTCAGAGCTTTGATGACGGAAAGTGCAGTGGAAGATACTGGAAATTACACAAAGTGATCTTCATCCTCATCTTCATCCTCATCCAAGTCTTGTTTTTTGCTCAGATATTTACTTTAAAGTCAAAGACATGTTAATGTGCTTTTTCTAAAAAAAAAAATGTATTATTAATTTATTTTGGCTTGATATAACTTTTATCTAAGAGGTTCTGAAGTCTGCACAAACTCGACATTACAACTCTCTTAAGCTCTTAAACTTTGTTTTTAGAAAAACCATTTCGGGGCTTTGGTTTGAGTATTATCTTTTATTTCTCCAAAGGGATAATGGTGAAATAGGTCATTTGTGTGATGGTGTAGATCTGACAAACAAAATTTCTCTTTCCGACTGCCTTCACGAATAAGAGTCTGTGCTAGTGGCATTACAGTAACAACCTATATAATGATATCTCAATGTTGCGAATGTTTATAAGCCTGATATTGATGAACTGTAAGGATTTAACAAATGCTAACCATCAGGGTATGAATATGTTTCTGTTGAATAGTCCAATGACCAATTTGTTGATTTATCTAAATGATTCAACTTCCTCCAAAAGATCAAATTGATAATTTGTTTTTATAGGTGGTTTTATAAAAACCACCTCTGTTTTATAGTTTGTTGACTTGAGCACTTTCATTTTACGAAATGTTTGCAACATGTTCAACCAAATGTTCAAAGAAAGAAATCCCCAAATTGATTCAATGTAATTGGACATTTTATTTTAGACACTTTTTAATTGCGTCATATTTAAAAGGAAGGAAGGACAACAAACTGCTAGCCACTTAGCTGTTTTTTTCTTCCACTGTTTTCATTGGCCATCGTTGCTGTGTGTTCTTTGACCAAAGCTCTGCCAGTGACCCAAGATGATTATTCGAAAATTTATGGGGATGAAGACAACAACTCCCATGATCCTACACTGCTGCATAATATCATCAAACTAAATCTTTTGCTATTGCTTTGATTGATAGATCCCTATATCAACCAAAAATGTATATTATACGTTTAAGTTCATTTTATTGTCAACAAATTCTGTCACGGTTTTGTCTTTTTTATCCGTCCATACTAGAATAGTATAGTGCCTGTGTTTTTCTCTTTGCGGCAAATCACCTTCTTATGTTGTTACAGTTGATGAGCTTTCGGTCTTTAGAAATTACATTAAAACTGTAGCATTGACTGGAGAAAGTCTGGAGCCTAAACAACTGACACAGCAACAAGGTGGTGATATTAAATTAAAAAACATTTGGTGTAATGAGTAGAAGTATGACAGAAAATAAATAACGCATTGGTTTCAAATGATATGGCGATTAACACAGCAGTGACTAGTGTTAGGGCTCTAAAGCTACTAGTTCAATGTTACATGAGCTGTAACTCAGCTAAAGTCCCAATGTAACGAACAGTTAGCCCTTAATGGTTGTATTTTCTTTATGCCCTCAGACCCCCCTTGAGTATTCAGATCTTGATGGATGTTGATGCACCCTCTGTGCCTCGTTATTAGGTTTGGCTTTTCCAGCACACAAATACACTCTTTCAGCCACGCTCAATGGCTCTTAATCCATGTTAATGTGCAATATCAATCACACTAAAACACATAAGTCCGTGAGCATCTGGAGTGAAGCAAAGTTTAGAGATGAGACTCCCACTTCACACGAGGGATGATTGCACACCACCAAAATGACTGCATCTCATATCTGGGTCTGCTGATGGGATTGCATCCAAATACTGATCAGTATTCTGCTGCAATAATCTCTGAGTCTAACTGATGCTTCCTTTGACTGTCATCATAATAAATTGGGTTTCATTCACTTTTGATGACATTAAAGCATCACTCAAAAGCCCTACTGTGCTCCATTAGGACAGGCGCGCATGATGGAGGGTTCAGAGCTGTGATATAATGAACGTCATTGGCTCGGTGGACTGAATGTCTGCCGCACAATCGTCACTGAGTTCAGAGTGGCAGCCTGAGGCTATA